CTGTTTGTGCACTGGATCAGATGTGAATGTTTCAGGATGTATTTGTAAAAGTGTATTTAAATAATAGTGAATACTTACCCGTCTGTGTGGACGTATGAAGAAGCAAAAGCAGAGCAGCTACGTGAAACCAAACTAAGCAAACCATATTCACTGAAACTACAGCATTTATTCTTCTGCTTATATACAATCAGAAAATGAAGGAGGAGCGTGGGGGTGAGTGTTGCTTACCATAGAAAAGACGTAATTAAAGTTAAGAAACTATGAAAAAATTAATGACGGAACTAAGAGAAAAGGAAACACTTTGCATAGCTTCTTTGACCGACATCGGCATATATAAAATATTTTAAAAAAATATCAGATATGTATTTTCAATGTGTTCGATTGTTTTGAGTCAAAATCACCTCAATAATGAATTAGGTGCTGTCTGAAGAGAGAGAGAATATGAAATCAGGCGACTTTTCTAAACAAAAAAAACTGACAATATTTGTCTTCTACTAATTACGAAGGAATCTTATCAAATATCTATGCTTTTTATCTCTGTGACCTGACAGTTCTTAAAATTATTATATACTTAAATATGTACCTGAATAATATATGTATTTTACCTGATGAACAATAAACGTTTTACGGGTATTCATTTCTTTTGTAACGAAATGTCTGCTCATTCAACAATATTAACAATAAGTTCTTACACCCACATCCTTTGCACATCGTGGAACATAGATCTCAGGTCAGCATTCTCCGAACACCTCTGTCAAAGACTATGCTTTCCAGTCATTGTCAGGTGCTATTCATTTTTTTGACGTCTGCCCCAGATTCCCGAAACAATGTATCTTCACGTCTATCTCATTTCATTTTGTCCCGAGAATTCTAATTCACGTCTTGATTGGTGAATCAGTTTGATGATTCCCGCAATGTGCGTTCAATTAAACTCCAGAGTTCTTTTGTAAAAATTTCTATTCAGCTAGACATTCGTTTGTTCTCTGCCACAATAGGTTTCTGCTGATAGCACTGGCCAACGGGTCTGGATTACCTTGTGTAGACAACTATTATGATGGTTGTAGCAGATCAACATGTCTTTGATCCGTACAACAGAACCGTCTCGACGTTTGTATTGAGGATTCCCGTTTTTGTATGGATGCAAAGTTCTTCCGAACTCGGCATTTTCTTCAACTGTAGTAATGTCAAGCTTTCCTTGCCAACGCATTCGTTCTCTTATGCATCAGAACCCTCTTGTTTATCAATAGTCCTTCACAAGTACTTAAAAGCTACCGCCTATTTTAGAGCTCCACAATAAAGTGGGATTTGGTTGGTGCTCACTGTGTTGTATTTCAGAATCTTTCTTTTCATTTGTGTACGTTGAAGCCTACTGCTTTGGAGGCTGCTGACTAATACTTGTCTCCGCCCGAATCGGTTGATGCACAAGAGATGAAAGAGCCAGGTCGCCTGATAAATCAGAATCGTCTAGTTGCGTTCAAGCTGTTCATTGTTATTAGCGATTGGACAAATAAGTTACCCCTAGTCATGTCAGGTCTAAGAAAATCAAGAAAACAAGGAATTGGGTGCTGTCCAGCTGGGCTAGTGTACGGAATGTCTTAACGCTTACATGGGAAGTTTATCGCTTCAGGTAAGAGTGCTTCGACGGATGTACCCAACTAAGTACAGCGAATAAAGAGGCACATGAATGATTTGAAAATTAACCTCTCGAGGTCACAAGAACGCCGGGTATTCGTGGTTAGGCAGAACGCGGAGTCACAAATAGAGTGTTTCTGGGTGTTAGCCTTGCACGCCTCAAGGCTGAACATAATGAAATTTGTTGATATATCTTTTTAGACAATGTCTAGGATGTTACCCTACTCAAGTCGAATACCTTATGACTCACAGGACTATCATCAAAAAGTGGAAAGCTTGCCATCAAAACGGTGAGTATAAATAAGTTGACCAGCTCGACAACCAAAGCTTTTGAACTATAATCATTAGACGAAAGCGAATGCATATCTATGGAATAGACTGTTATGGTAGATGACCAAACGGTTAGTAGACCAGGAGAACTTGCAAAGAGCAGTACTAAGAAATGGCCCATCTCATGAATTTGCCTTAGCCCAAGTTATCAGGCGCCGAACACAAGCTGCTCATCGGTTGTGACGTGCCTGAAACTCATTGAGTCGTGGACCAAAGACTAGGTAGACAAAACAGCCTGTAAAATTATGGTCGACCACAGCATTAGTACCGCTATAATTATCAACCTAATCTCAAAAGTATAGTTTTGTCATGATGTGACAACCTAATCTACAAGATCTTACGTGGAAGTCATATCATTTTCTATTCTGATTCGTCGTATCGTAACCACAAGCAGTATAATGTTTAGAATTACTAAATAACACATTGAGGCTGAAGTATGAATTATTACGAATTTGTGAGATGTCACACAAGAATGATCACGTCTGAAAAGCTGAGTCATGCCGTCCGACTAAATGAATGTTCCTGCGTTCATCATTGTTGCCTTCTCTTAGTGTTTAATGCAGAATATCCATTTTCCCAGTTATCTCATATTCAGAGTTGAGGTGGTGTGTAATTGGAACCGATACCACTACAATCCTTCATGCTGTTTTGACACTGCTAGGACGGATTTTGTTTGGACCAACAGGCTATAACAAACACGTTAAAAGGATAGTGAACCATATTTCACAAACTGACAACTATGTAGAACATTAAAAAAATAACTATAAGTTTGCCGACGTCCAATTTTCTTACGAATCATTATCTTTGAATGGTTTTAAAGCAATTAGCGTAATAGGACACGATACTTATGCTCATGAAAATAATTGGGTTGTTCCTTTACCTTGGTAGATAGAAAGAAATGTGGTATCCAGGAATTACGCTGTATTCAGACAGAGACTAGAAAGTTTGAGACGTCGACTTATATGCGATATAGACCTTCGGGTAAGCTACCCCACTAATTTCTCCAATATACCTTCCTGCTAAACAACCCTTGCAGAGCACTTTCAAGTCGCACATTGATTAAGACAAGCACCTAAGTGCTAGTTTTGTGTCCTTGTGGAACGATTGAGTATGTGCAGAAGCTGAGGACAACCAACAGTCCTCGAAGTGTTAGAAATGAGAACAAAGAGAACTTTGTAACAGTCGAGTTACATTTGTTTTGTGATGCCTCGAAAACATGTCACGGTTCAGTGGCTTACTCGTAAAAAATCCCTGAGCATAAACTTTCGGACAGTAATAGTGGTTAGCTTTTTTCGTAAAAGCCAATTCTGCTTCAGACGTTTACGACCACTGATGTTTTTCTGTTTGCCAACATTATGAGCATGCAACATCAGCATTTTATGATGAGTCACGTGGATAATAATAATAACATATTCTGAATATAATATTTACAGAATTCACATCAGTTTACAGGCATGATCAGATTGTTATAAAAATCAACATTTAATGTAGAGAACAAACATGAAATATAAGAAAGTTTTATGTTTGCTGGTTTAGTAATTGTTAAATAGTTTAAATATGGCATATGTCACGGCAAGCCAATACAACACCAGGGAACTTATCATTTTTTCATCAAGTGGATAGCCTGATGATTGACCAACATTGTTCTGTAAGGTTATTACCAGTGCCAGAGCGAGTTATTATTAATTATCTACAACTAGAAAAGGTAAGATTAAAGCAAAGAGCACGGAACAACAAAACAATGATAGCAGGTTAGAGGTTAAACATTTAAAGTTCCTATAATCTCACTTGTGGAGTAAGATACACTTGCAGGCGCTAGAGCATTTAATGCATTTTCAGAGGAGCAAAAAGCATTAATTGAGCGAACAAACAATGGGAAAGAGTTTAACATACGGATAGTTTGGGGTAAATTATTCCAGAGTCTAGAAAACTTACATTTAAAGTAATTCATAAAGAGAGAAGATCTAGAATATGTTTGTTTCGCTAAAGACAAGGAGTTACGAATGTCGTAATGTGGGGCTTTAGCATATTGAATTGCCTGATCGGATGTGAAGGAGAGTTTGTTAAGTATTTTGAAAAAGAAGATAAGGTTAAGTTTGAGTCTCCTCATTCATAATGGGTCAAGCCCTAGTTTACTACACCTCGAATTATATGTCAAGACACTATCAGGTCCGAGAGTACGAAATGTAAATCGTCTCTGTACTGATTCCAGTCTTAATTTATCCTTTATGCGCGTGCTACTAAGGAGAAACGCGCAGTATTCGAGGAGTGGTCGAACACAGACTTTGTACATTAGAATACGAGATTCGCTGTTATGAAGGTTTCGAGTTATGAAACCTATAAGGCGTTGAGACTTGGACGTTTGTTTCATTATCTGTTCAGTAAACGACAAGTCGTCGGAGTACCTAAGCCCTAGATCTACTGCTGTGTGTAACCTAGATAACATTTCCCCATTTATGGTAAGATTGAGGTTGAGTGATGTATCACCGAAGCATAACCAACCACATTTAGCTGTATTAAGCTCCAGTTGCCATTTCGAGCACAACTGTGCTACCTTGATAAGCTCCGTGCTGATACAATTTCGAATATTGCTCAGCTCATGTGGAGAAAATGAGTACACCACCTTAAGATCATCTGCAAACAAAGAGGACTTACCCACACTAAAACACTCACAAATATCATTAATGAAAACTAAAAAGAGCAAAGGACCTAAGACACTACGTTGAATTACCCCAGGGACTGCGTTCGACAATGAAGAGTTGATTTTAATTATTTGATGTCGATTGCTGAGGAAGGAATCAAAGCAGGCTAGTAACGGGTTTTGGACCTGTTAGATCGGCATACAATAAACTCTATCAGAGCCTCCAGAGAGGCTCATAAAGAGACCAACCAATCAGCGATCAGTTAGAAGCTATGCTACTAAAATGCTACTAAAATAACAAGGTCCTGATTGGCTGTTAACATATTGCTACTATGGAATCTCAAGGTCTTTCTAATTACTATAAAACCCCTGTTTTTTCTGTACATAATTGAACCTTGTAGTAAAGTGATTTCTCTGTTACTCGTGTCTTCTTACTGGTCTTTCAAGTCGCTGAGTAGTGCTAGCCTGGGGTTTATCCGAATAGCTAGGATCCGAATAAAGCGTTCAACCTACAAGTCATAACAGTGGCGACGGGGAAAAACTACAATCTACGAGACGTAACAAATTGGCGACGGGGTTAGCTTATCAAGATGCCATTTACCTTTGAACAATTTGAAGCCTTGCTGGAGCGTCAAGAGAAACGATTTGAGCAGTTCCAGGTTCGTATCATAGAGACTTTAACGCAGAAATTGAACCTAAGTAAATCTGGTGCTACAGATGATGCTGCCAAATCTAATGTCGACCACATTATTAATTCTATCCATGAGTTCAATTTTGATGGTTCGTCTGGTATTACTTTCGAAACCTGGTTCAAGAAATATGAAGATTTATTCAAGGTCGACCTCAGAAAACTTGATGACACCGCAAAGGTTAGAATACTCTTAAGAAAACTTGGCACAGCTGAACATGAACGCTCTAGTAACTTTATTCTCCCGAAGAACCCACGAGACTTTAGTTTTGATGAAACAATTCAAACCCTGTCTCAAATCTTTGGAAAACAGTCGTCTCTATTTAATATCCGTTACCAGTGCTTGAAGATAACGAAAGAATCAGGAGATGACTGGGTGAAACATGCAGGTATTGTGAACCGAGAATGCGAGAGGTTCAAGTTGTCTTCCATGTCTGAAGACCAGTTTAAATGCTTAGTATTTGTCTGTAGCCTGCGTTCACCTGAGGATGCTGACATCCGAACGAGAATCCTAAGCAAACTTGAGCATTGTCCCAACATGACCCTGCAGGAAGTGACTAATGAATGTCAAAGATTAGTGAATTTGAAGCACGATACCTCGATGGTAGAAAACACTAACCAGTTCCTCCACGTTAATGCTGTTGAGAGGAAAGTCGAGCAAGGTTCCAGCATACAGAATTATCGAAATCACAGCTGTAAACCATCATCCCCATGCTGGTTATGCGGAGGTTGGCATTTCAAAAGGTTTTGTCCGTTTAAAAGTCATCGTTGTACTACGTGTTCCAGGAAAGGACACAAAGAAAGTCATTGCAAAACCCGAAAACGTCGTCAACCTAAAGTTTATTCTAAAAGATTCAAGCCACGCACAGCCAAGGTGACGGTAGCTGCTAACAGAATCGGCTCCCATAATCGTAGAAAGTATGTTTCCCTCAAGATTAACGGGTACGATGCCCGCTTACAGCTAGACACAGCCTCCGATATAACGCTTATAAGCAGGAGGACGTGGGAGAAAATTGGGAGGCCGAGAATATTTTCAACCTATCAGACAGCACACGGCGCATCCGGGGGGATTATAAACGTTGCTGGTGAGGTTCACTGTAAAATCACAGTCGCAGAGCTTACAAAGAAGGGAGTAATATTTTTGACAGAACGGCCAGCACTCGACTTATTGGGACTTGATTGGATAGAAAAGTTGAAATTATTAGATCGTCCCATAAATTCAATCTGCAACAACGGCACTATGTCGAAAGTTGGGGACCCAACATTGTTTCGTGGGGGAGGTTGAAGTCAGCAAATGCAATCTGGATACCTACCCCGCTTCTTCAAAAAAAAGGGGAGGTGTTAGATCGGCATACAATAAACTCTATCAGAGCCTCCTGAGAGGCTCATAAAGAGACCAACCAATCAGCGATCAGTTAGAAGCTATGCTACTAAAATGCTACTAAAATAACAAGGTCCTGATTGGCTGTTAACATATTGCTACTATGGAATCTCAAGGTCTTTCTAATTACTATAAAACCCCTGTTTTTTCTGTACATAATTGAACCTTGTAGTAAAGTGATTTCTCTGTTACTCGTGTCTTCTTACTGGTCTTTCAAGTCGCTGAGTAGTGCTAGCCTGGGGTTTATCCGAATAGCTAGGATCCGAATAAAGCGTTCAACCTACAAGTCATAACAGTGGCGACGGGGAAAAACTACAATCTACGAGACGTAACAGGACCCCATATGATGCGAGTTTACCTACGAGAAGTTGGTGGTTGACCATGTCGAAGGCCTTAGAAATGTCCAGGTATAGCACTAATACTAGGTACAAAGTCTGTGTTCGACCACTCCTCCAATACTGCGCGTTTCTCCTTAGTAGCACGCGCATAAAGGATAAGTTAAGACTGGAATCAGTACAGAGACGATTTACATTTCGTACTCTCGGACCTGATAGTGTCTTGACATATAATTCGAGGTGTAGTAAACTAGGGCTTGACCCATTATGAATGAGGAGACTGAAAATTAACCTTATCTTCTTTTTCAAAATACTTAACAAACTCTCCTTCACATCCGATCAGGCGATTCAATATGCTAAGGCTTCACATTACGACATTCGTAACTCCTTGTCTTTAGCGAAACAAACATATTCTAGATCTTCTCTCTTTATGAATTACTTTACCTGTAAGTTTTCTAGACTCTGGAATAATTTACCCCAAACTATCCGTATGTTAAACTCTTTCCCATTGTTTGTTCGCTCAATTAATGCTTTTTGCTCCTCTGAAAATGCACTAAATGCTCTAGCGCCTGTAAGTGTATCTTACTCCACAAGTGAGATTATAGGAACTTTAAATGTTTAACCTCTAACCTGCTATCATTGTTTTATTGTTCCGTGCTCTTTGCTTTAATCTTACCTTCTCTAATTGTAGATAATTAATAATAACTCGCTCTGGCACTGGTAATAACCTTACAGAACAATGTTGGTCAATCATCAGGCTATCCACTTGATGAAAAAATGATAAGTTCCCTGGTGTTGCATTGGCTTGCCGTGACATATGCCATATTTAAACTGTTTATCAATTACTAAACCAGCAAACATACAACTTTCTTATATTTCATGTTTGTTCTCTACATTAAATGTTGATTTTTATAACAATCTGATCATGCCTGTAAACTGATGTGAATTCTGTAAATATTATTTTCAGAATATATTATTATATCCTTGGCTACGAAGCGAATAGACTAAATTAAAGAAGTCAAAATGACATGTCATACAGGATCGATTTTTAAGAAATCCATGTTGCGAATCATCAATAAATTGTTCAGTCAATAAATAGTTGGATAGTTCGTCACTAATAATTTTTTCCATAATCCTAGAGATAACTGGAGTAATATTTATTGGCCGATAGTTTTTCATGTCAGTCTTATCTCCGGATTTGTAACGTGGTATGATGTACGCGGTTTTCCAACGGTCAGGATAAGAGCCTGATTCCATAGAGAGAGTGAACAGCTTAAGGAGAAGAAGTTGGATATCTGGACCACCATATTTGTAGAGAAATGATGAAATCCCGTCTGCACCGTGACCTTTCGAAACCTTGAGCTTATTTATAACCTTACTAATTTTCAGACATGTGAAGGAGATAGATGTTATTGAGTTACCAGTCAAGCATATAAATCTAGAAACAGAGCCATTTATGGATTCTTTGCCATTTGCAAAATTACCACTGAAAAGGTTTGCTATAAGTTTTAGGTCATATAAAAACTATTATTATGCAGGATGCATGGTATGTCAACATTTTGAGTTGATTTAGCACGTTTATTGTGAAGGTGGATTAGGTTTTGCACTTTTGAGCTAGTACTTAGTGCTAATAGCTCTTCATTGATAGCTTTTAACCTATGTTTCTCTCTAATTTGGTTAAAAATTATTGTTATTGTTTTACTGCGGTGAAGTCGTTAGGCGTCTTAGTTTATTACGATATTTAGCTGGTATATATAATTCGTAACTCCGCCTGTAGCTCCTCCAGGGGCTACTGCCGGTCCCAAGCCCGGGTAAAGGAGGAGGGTTGGGCATGGGGTTATCGACCCCATCCCGTAGAAAATCAACTCGCTAAAAAAACGCTAACCAGAAAAATTCATTCAAACCATTCAAACTCTGCCCTGGGAGTAGAAGGAAAAATGACGTCTCATGATGAAAGCCGAGTTCCTTCGGAAGTCATGAGGCCGATGCACCTTCTTACAACCAGAGCGACAATTTTTATAGGTACATGGAATGTCCGGACAATGTGGGAGACCGGCAGAGTCTTCCAAATTTCTGCGGAAATGAGGAAATACAACCTGGAAGTGCTTGGAATCAGTGAAACACATTGGACGCAGGTTGGTCAACAACGACTGTCTTCAGGGGAACTTCTGTTATACTCCGGTCATGAAGAAGAAAATGCCCCACATACACAAGGAGTGGCACTGATGCTGTCTAGAAAAGCACAAAATGCACTTATAGGATGGGAATCTCATGGACCGAGGATCATCAAAGCCTCCTTCAGAACAAAGAGAGAGGGCATTACAATGAACATCATCCAATGCTATGCGCCGACCAACGACTACGATGAAGACGCTAAAGACCAATTCTACGATAGGCTGCAGTCAATCTTCGAGAAGTGCCCAACCAAGGACCTGACCATTCTAATGGGAGATTTCAATGCCAATGTTGGAAAGGACAACACTGGATACGAAGACGTCATGGGACGACATGGACTGGGAGAAAGGAACGAAAACGGTGAGAGATTTGCAAACCTATGTGCCTTCAATAAACTGGTCGTAGGTGGCACCATATTCCCACACAAAAACATACACAAAGCCACTTGAATTTCACCGGATCACACTACACAGAATCAAATCGACCATGTCTGCATCAACAAAAAGTTCAGGAGGACGATGGAGGATGTGAGAACCAGGAGAGGAGCTGATATAGCATCCGATCACCATTTGCTGGTCGCCAAGATGAAACTAAAACTCAAGAAGCACTGGACAATGGCGCGGACAACATCACAAAAGTTTAACACGGCCTTTCTTCGAGATGCTGACAAACTCAACGAATTTAACATAGCCCTCAGCAACAGGTTCCAGGCCTTTCATAACCTCTTCAATGGAGAGGGAACCACCATAGAGAGCAGCTGGAAAGGTATCAAGGAGGCAATCGTTTCAACATGTCAGGAGGTTCTGGGCCAAAAGAAGCACCATCACAAGGAATGGATCACTGTTGGTACACTGGATAAAATTGAAGCAAGGAGGAACAAGAAGGTAGCAATCAATATCAGCCGAACAAGAGCGGAAAAAGCCAAGGCACAAGCCGAATACACAGAGGCAAACAAGCAAGTGAAGAGGAGCATTAGAACTGATAAACGTAAATATGTTGAAGATTTAGCCACGACAGCGGAAAAGGCTGCAAGAGAGGGAAACATGAGACAACTGTATGATACAACAAAGAAACTTGCTGGAAATTACCGTCAACCAGAAAGACCAGTGAAAAACAAGGAAGGCAAAGTAATCAACGATATTGAAGAACAACGAAACAGGTGGGTAGAACACTTCAAGGAACTCTTGAATCGACCAGCTCCACTGAACCCACCCAACATCGAAGCAGCACCCACAGACCTCCCAATCGATATTGGCCCACCAACAATTGAAGAGATCAGCATGGCCATTAGACAAATCAAGAGTGGCAAAGCAGCGGGACCAGACAACATCCCGGCAGAGGCACTGAAAGCAAATGTAACAGCAACTGCCAAGATACTCCACATCCTTTTCAGTAAGATTTGGGACGAAGAACATGTACCAACAGACTGGAAAGAAGGACTTCTCATCAAGATACCAAAGAAAGGCGATCTGAGCAAGTGCGACAACTACAGAGGCATCACTCTCCTCTCAATACCAGGAAAAGTCTTCAACAGGGTATTGTTAAACAGGATGAAGGATTCCGTGGACGCTCAACTTCGAGATCAACAAGCTGGATTTCGCAAGGATAGATCGTGCACAGATCAAATCGCAACTCTACGTATCATTGTGGAACAATCAATCGAATGGAATTCATCACTGTACATCAACTTCATCGACTACGAGAAGGCATTTGATAGCATGGACAGGACGACACTGTGGAAGCTTCTTCGACACTACGGTGTGCCTGAGAAGATAGTAAATATCATACGGAACTCCTATGATGGACTAAACTGCCAAATCGTCCACGGAGGACAACTCACCGACTCGTTCGAGGTAAAGACCGGTGTTAGGCAAGGTTGCCTACTCTCACCCTTTCTCTTTCTCCTGGTGATCGACTGGATTATGAAGACGTCAACATCTGGAGGAATGCACGGGATACAGTGGACGGGCAGGATGCAGCTTGACGATTTAGACTTCGCGGATGATCTGGCTCTTCTATCACAAACGCAACAACAAATGCAGGAGAAAACGACCAGTGTAGCAGCAGCCTCAGCAGCAGTAGGTCTCAATATAAACAAAGGGAAAAGCAAGACTCTCCGATACAATACAATATGCACCAATCCAATTACACTTGACGGAGAAGCTTTGGAGGATGTGGAAATCTTTACATATCTGGGCAGCATCATTGATGAACACGGTGGATCAGATGCAGATGTGAGGGCGAGGATCGGCAAAGCAAGAGCAGCATACCTACAGCTGAAAAACATCTGGAGCTCAAAACAATTGTCAACCAACACCAAGGTTAGAATTTTCAATACAAATGTCAAGACAGTTCTTCTGTATGGGGCAGAGACGTGGAGAACTACGAAAGCCATTATCCAGAAGATACAAGTGTTTATTAACAGCTGTCTACGCAAGATACTTCGGATCCGATGGCCAGACACTATCAGCAACAAGTTACTGTGGGAGAGAACAAACCAGATTCCAGCGGAGGAAGAAATCAGGAAGAAGCGCTGGAAGTGGATTGGGCACACTTTGAGGAAATCACCCAATTGTGTCACAAGACAAGCCCTCACATGGAATCCTGAAGGTCGAAGGAGAAGAGGAAGACCAAAGAACCCATTACGCCGAGAAATAGAGACAGACATGAGAAGAATGAACAAGAACTGGAAAGAACTAGAAAAGAAGGCCCAGGACAGAGTGGGTTGGAGAAAGCTGGTCGGCGGCCTATGCTCCATTGGGAGTAACAGGCGAAAGTAAGTAAGTAATATATAATTCGTGATGTTTACTAATCCTGTAAGTCT